AGAGAATATTGACTGGCAATAGAGCATTTTGATTGGTTGATTTTAATTATTGGCCCTCTGACTGCCCGAGTCGTGTAATAAAAATTCTTATTTCCCTTCAGATATCTTTCTCTACATAATTTTACCCTTAATAACTCTGACCACATTTGTCAATACAAACGAAACAAACAGTGTGGTGCAGACCAAAACATCTGCATAATTATGTATGGCTATCTTAGGGAGAGGGTACATGCTAATCACCTCTCGGAGTTGAAAGTTATTGCTTGTGACTGCTAATGTTTTCTTTTCCTTCTTCCTTCGTACATGTATTTTCTTGCTCTCAAGTATACTATGATCTAAATATTCATCAACACTTCTACTTTCCTGTACTAGTGTGTCAGTGATCAGACAGGATTTAAGACAGTGAAATACAAGATACAAAAACCCTCAACTTGTCATGTGACGTTGTTTCATTGCAAGTTTTGCATTGACAAGAAACATGCAACAGAATTTGTTGCTCAAAGTAGACATGCACTCCACTTTTCACAACAACTTTCTTCAACCCGCAACAAATGTTTTTTTTGCTCTTGCAATGAAGCAATGTTGTGCAACAAGTTGAGGGTTTTTGTATCTTGTATTTCTCTACCTTAAGAGCCAACTGGTCACAGTGCAGACTTAAATGTTACAACATAGCAAGAAATTTATATTTTCAAAAAAATAAAAGGACCATCTCCTAGCACACAAATTTTAAAGTGGGATTGCATTGTGCTGCGTACAACCCCAGGATAAGTCAAAAACTATCCTAAGTTACTCTTTTACTCTGGCTTAATGGCAGACTGGACCTTCAGGTTCCAACTCTTCTGCAGCTCTTAAGTCTCTTTCTGCTTTCTCAAAGTCTTTCAGATGAAAGTAGGATTGGCCTCGTCTAAACAAGGCTTTGGCATTCGATGGTTGAATCTTTAGGGCCTACAAGATGTTCATAAGAAAAACTTAATACTTAATACACAGTCCCATGCATCATTCTCTGAAAAAAAAAAATTAAGTTTACCGTAAAGGCCCCTATTGTTTGAAGGTGGGATAACACTATCCAAATGCTAGTATGAAAGACTTTCTTAAGCTTTACCCCAATTAAGCGGAGTGCCTAACTACTATGTAAGATATCATCAGTTATTACGGACTTTAAGCAGTCAGGATGGCAATGCCATGGAAGACGTTGATTAAAAAATGAGTTTCTACTTTTAGTTAGCATTTCAAAAATGGCTGCATGTGTCTACCATCTCATAGGGTGCCAGACCTCAAAGTCAACATAACGCATAAAAGTAGCCTTGAGTTCCAAATTTAAATAATTTGCCACCGCGGTTTTGCTTCGCAGATGATGCAAATTTTGGTGATTTCACGTTGTTGTTTTGCAAAGGACAGCTAAGAAATGTACAAAGTTTTAAAACGCACGTGCTGGGCAATTGTTCTGCCAATTAGATCTATTGTTTTTCCACGTTCTCATTGCCGTAGCCATCGTGGTTTGCTTTAAGTCCCTATTTACTTTAACAAAGTGCAATGTGACTTGCACCCCCAATAATGAATTAGTTATGCCTTTGAATTGTCGTCTAATGCGTCATGGAATAGAATTAACTCTTAACTCTCCTACCTCATTGCAGTTGTGTACTGTCCGATCCCAGCGACTGTCTTTGAGTAAACAAGCTAGAAATTTTCCAGACATGAAATTAGGAAGGGCATGAATTCATTAAACTGAATTAGTATAGGTAATCACATGATTTTCAGTGTAATTTGGTGTAAATAAGCATGAATAAATTTTTTCAATGACTAACAAAATTGGGTAAGTGTCAGGGCAAGTGCAGTTTGTGGTCTTTGAAAGGATTTACCAGTGCTTATTTATTCCAAATTGCATGAGAAAAATCATGTGATTATGTATTAATAATATACATGAAAAAATACACAGTAGCTTATCATAATTATGCAGAAGAAAAGCACATGCATCACATGTAAAAATAATTTAATCAAACCCTGCAAGTGACATTGACCTTGACATTATCATTGACCAATCATTCTGACCAATTAGAATGTCTGGTTTGTTACTTTCTTTGTACAGAATTAACCCTTTTCTGCATCGAATTAACTCTCTTCTGCACCGAATTACCTGAAAACTGCATTTATCTTAACCAATCAGAACTGAGTAATTTTTTCATTTATATTATTAAGATTGAAACAGGCCTCAGTGTGTTTAGGGGGGACATTTCGAACAGAGAGAAAATCAACTTCAAGCTACCGGCTAAGTTGTTGTAGCAGCTAAACTGGACTTGGAAAATTGTTTCTTTATCTTCGTCAGCAATGTCTTTGACGATCGACTCCATTCCAATTAGAAACGGTTGATCGATAAGCCCTTTCACGTGCAGTAATGCCTTATGATAACTTTTCATTGCATTCCTGTAGTCCTTTTTCTTGAAATAATCGTTCCCCACCGCTTTAAGAGCGACTCCTCGCTCAATTTTTTCCTTGGTACTCAATCTTGAATTTCCACCTGTAGGCTCTTCCACAGCCGCCATGTTTACTGAGTGACCTGGCCGCTGGACCTGGCCAAGTGCGACAGAGCAGAATAACGTATACGCATGCGCTAGATTTTGCCGTGGAAACACGGATTTTGAGTCGTTCGCATGGTTGATTTCCTATTCTGTTGCTTCGAGGCGTCCTTTTCCTTGCCGCTTTTCTTTTACAGAACAACCTCCAGAAACTTGGTACACCCCCTAAAAAATTTCAAAAATCAATTTTTCCATAAAACCTCTGGAAATAGGAAAATGCCTTCAATGAAAACAGAGTTCCTCGGTTTTTAAAGTCGGCTCTCATTATTTTCCGCTAAATTCGCTAATTTCGGCTTTACAAGCCGACCCCTACATCAACGTGTGGAGGACCATAAACGATCGGTAATCATCAACCATGCAAGAGAACAGTGATCGAACCATGTGAAATCGCAAAGAACTTTAGGGTCCTGAGGAAATGCTCAAACAAGTTCGATTGTTTGATTTTCGAAATGTTTTTTATTGGGAACCTTAAGCCAAAATTGAACAAACAGAGCAATTCTATTCGCGCGAAACTGTTTGCTTAACACTTCATAGTAATTAATTTTTATCCTTTTCACCGCTTATTTACACTTCATTCCTGCAGTTATTAGCTCTATTGTTTATATGTTAATACTTAGCTTTTACCTTCATTCCATTGTTTCAGAAATCGTATACATGTGGAAATTTACCCATGAACTCTAACTTGAAAATGACCGTGGAGCGGTGAAACGTCGTTCATATTTTTTATCGCTCGTTTTTATCACTAAATGTTTTAGTAAGAACTTATTACTTAGAATACTTGAGCCCGCGTTATTGACCGCATACTCTCTGACGTAGCAGTTCATTATTCAGCTCTGTCGCTAAGTTCGAGTTCGTCAATGTCGAGCCTAGGGTCATTTTCAGTTCCTTGTCAGCGGCCTTTATTTTGGTGAAAAACCCATCATACCATACACTGAATCGAAATATGCCATTGTTCCGGACTTACTAGCCTCCTTTTCTGTTTCCTCGAGAAGACGAGGCTAGTAAGTCCAAAACAGTGGTAATTCAAATTGGACGCCATATTTCGATTTGGTGAATTCATTGCACCAGTAAACACATAAGAAATTGAGGTTTATCTTATAAAAGCAATAGCTTCGATCCGCCAAGTGATTCACACACCTTTCGTTTTAACTCAACATCTCAAGGGGGTTATTACGCCCGTTAACAGATAGAAAGTGCGGTTTCTTGCCTTAATAGGCACATTATAGGCAGTGATAGGGCAGGCGATAGGGCTACTTAGTAATTTCACGTCGTTAGTAGCAACCAAAAAGGCATAAATGCAAAAAAGGTAACATTCAGTTGATGTTCCCTTTCGCTCTTGCTATCAGTCACTTGGGGTAGAAAGAAAAATCCGTTTTACGCTCGAGTAGTCTTCTTGATCCGCAACGTAGAACGCAATGTGTAAAACTTGGAAACATTCGTTCAAGTCACGGGAATTTAATGTCGGGCGTGCCTCAAGGATCCGTGCTGGGCCCTCACCTATTTATTTTTATACTTGCTGAGTTCATATCTGTAACTAAACACGTTTGTTGTTTAGAATGCTTAATAAAGACTTTATTATTATTATTATTATTATTATCATTATTATTATTATTATTATAAACGACATGTTCTACAATGTAAAGAAGGCAAAATTATCAGCCTGTGCCGATGACAAGCAACTTTATTTTAGTCAGAGAGAAGCATTGACAGTACAATATACTCTAAATTCAGAATTAGCCGTTATGTCAAGCTGGATTAGTAACAACGGTCTCATTCTCAACGCCAAGAAATGCGAGTCCCTTCGAATGAAGAAGATATTAGTTTCACGGTAAATGGGACAGTTATAAAGCCAAACATCAGTTTCAAGCTATTTGGTGTTCACACAGATGACAATCTGAACTTTAGTAAACATGTTACATCGTTATGTAAGAAAACAAGCAAAGAAATGGCGATCATAAACAGGTTTAAGAAGCTGTTGAGTACTAAAACAAAACTTTTGTTGTACAAAGCCTATATTCTACCTCATTTTACCTATTGCTCTACTGTATGGAAGCATTGTGGCAAAACAGCAGTTGGCAAACTCGAAAAGCTAAAGGAGCGTGCTATAAGATGTATTTTTAATGACAACATTAGCACCTATGACGAATTACTTGTAAAGGCAAATATGCGAAGCCTGCAAAATAGAAGGATTCAGGACATGTGTATACTTACATATAGAGCTTCTAGAGTGGGGTCGCACATTTTCAGAATTTTGAAGGTGTAAAAAGTTTTTGGTCAGTAGAGATTTAAAAATGGGAATATTTTCGGGGAAAAAGTTGGTCCCGTATCACCAAAAAGTGACCATCATTTCTTTTGTAAAATTGGCAATGCTCAGAATAGAATGAAATGGGGTAGGGGTTCTGAGAGGCCGGTAAAATTGACCCAAGTTTCCCCCACCCCCCCCCTTCCCCCTGCAAGTACGTTCGCAAAGTTTAATATGTAAGTAGACAGCCCCCTCTTACAGAAGAACTTCACATTGCTACAGTTACACAATAACAGAACTGTCTTATACCCGTGAAAAACAAATCGTGGCTTCTGTGACATGATGCATTCCTATTTTTTTCTATAATCAAAGCCATTTCATGTGTTATGTTTTCTTTTCTCTTTCTGGTAGAATGCCGTATACTCGTCCATCAAGTCTATCGAGTGCCTCTCCAGAGAGATCTTTTTTTTTTATTCCTCTTCATCAAAAGTGAAAGATGTGGTCCTGAAGAATTCTCGTTATCCTTTAAATGACATCGATTTCCTATTGATAATCAGAAAATTAAAGTATTTCTACAATCAACCCACTGGTGCTGTCTTAGAGCGACTTGCTACCCTTGTGCAAAGGTAAGTAACCTTACAACTACAGTCGTGCAGGTTTTCCGATGGTACAAAATAATTACCCCTCACCCACCACCCCAGCAATTTACATTTTTTCTTTGGATGGTGTGATGACAACTATTAATACTCCTGAGTGGAGGGGGGCATTTTGGGAGAACATAAATGTTTTTCCCAATTACCACTGCCAGAGCCTGAACCCAATAACCCAGAGAAGACACCTAGACAGAAGTATGATTCAAAAACCATATATTCCACCCCCCTCCCCCCTTCTCGTTGAAAATATTTATGAAATCATTTATAGCACTGACCGCGTTTTGAGGTACAAATGATGGCCTGACTATGCGTACATTGTCTTAATGCGAGCTAAAAATTCGGCTATGGACACTGCCATTTTGAATTTACCCAACAACCTGGCCGCGCAGCTCGCTCATGACTCAAGGAAATCTTTTTACTCGAGTAGTTGGCGATTGGTTTAAACGAGAATAAACTTCAGATAAAGGTATCATTAATTTAAAAAAAAAGCATTTAATCAGAGCACAGCTGTTGGTGAGCTGTTTAGTTCAGCCTCAGGAATCTCAAACCGTAGCAAGAAGCAATTTTTTAAAAGTATTTTTAATGCTAAGGATAACATTTTCTAACCCACTGCTTCTCCGGTACTAACCTAGATTATCTTGTTCCTGTTCCATTCGTTTAATAGACATTCCAGTGATCTTGCCACAATTTCCAGTTGGAATGAGGTCGTTAAGAAGTTGACAGCTGACAAGAATTTGAGCACCGTGGCTGTTCACCGTTTTCTTCAAGAAACAGGTTGTCCTAAATGTTACGTGGAGAATGCTGAGTATCTTGAGAAATTTGACCCGCACGGAATTTACCCCACCACCATATATGGAAGATGCAGCGGCGAAGTTCTGGCTAAACCAGACGCATCAGTTGTCGCCATTACCTGTAGATATACTTTAACGACCACAGCAAAGATAGTCTATGATGTTCTGAACGCAACCAATCCAGAGCTGAGAGCTGTATACCAACCCATCGGAAGTCCTAACTCATTTGCCTTTTGTATCATTTACCTCATCCCCCATGGGTGGCTACATTGTCTATGTTTTCAAACAGTTTGACCTCGCGTACTTACACACATCCGATGAGTCAAACCCAACGAAAAGCCACGGTAATATCACAAGTAGTCTTTGA